CAAGGACTGACCACAGCATAATTAAGTGCTATGTCACCAACTACGGGAGGCTGTTATGCCTTAATTGATACTCTCTACTTAGAACTCACCCGGTGCTTCACTACAGCTGCATATTACAGATGTGCAACAAATGATGAATAATAATAATTGTTTTCTTTTTATAAGGATTATAATGAGCTGGTGTTTTTTTTTCTGTGGCAGGATTCTATCACATTTGCATAGGAAAATGTCATTTGCTTCCTGCAAATCCAGCCATTGTGATTTGAAAGTCTTAGCTTCTGGTTTAATGTGATCAGCAACCCAATTTATTGCTGTTTATGTAACAGTTTGTGGTTAAACAAATCATAACTCTGTATATATTCCTTAATTTTTAACAGAACCATTGAGAGAAAGCCTAGTCCATCTGCATAACACCATCCTGACTTTTGGCTAAGTTTGGTTTCTTAATGAAACCTTATACAGATTTTAATAAGAGCCACATAACACATGCAAATGTTTTGGGTTCTACCTGCCTTGTTGCATTAAATTGTTTCATGAACCATCTTTACCATCAGTTTTTCCAGCTATAAAGAGAAATGTGTTTTAATAATTATTCTAAAAATTCTATAACTTCTATACTAGACAGGCTTTTTTAACTACAGGAAGTGTTATACTGCTTTTAATAATTATTATTGGTATGATTAATATTTGAGAATTGATTTTAATGTAATTTATTGAATGAGTTGAAAACATTCCCTGCCCCCGTCCTCTTTTCTGAAATAAACCATCCCTAGATTATCTCATTCTTCTTTGGGTTTGCCAATTTGTCCCTTTCCCAATTATATTCATATATAAATTCAGTTTATATCTTATTGAAAAAGCCAGAAACTAAAAATCTAAGGAATGAGGTACAGTGGAGGAGATATTGGTTTGTTTCATTTTAAAAAAAAACCAAAACTGTCCTTGCCCTATGTCTCTGTGGATTTTATCAGATACTTGGACATGGCATGAAACAAATCAGAAATAAATTAGTAAGATACATTTGTACTGGCACTCCTCCATCTATCATTTGTTGAGCAACCATTCAAAGTCACAACACGGAAAAAAATAACTTATGACTGGTCCTTGCACTTGCCATTGCTTCAGCATCCCCATGGCCAGGTGATTGTTATTCGGGCAGTCAGTAGGGAAGTTGGCAAATATTGCAAATTTACAACAGCCAGCCAGTGTCCCATAGTTGTGTGATTGCCATATGTGATCTTCCTAACTGGCTTCTGACAAGCAAGGGAAGTTGGCAGGGAAAGTCAGAAGTCACAGTCATGTGATGCTTAACAATAGAGAAAAAAAAGGTTGGAAAATTCGGTTTGGTCATGTGGTACCTCACTTAATCACATTAATGACAAATTTTCCAGTACTTGTTGTGGTCATAAATCAAGGACTCCCTGGAATAGGCATATCAGAAATAGTTTCAAATTGTGGTTTCCTATTCTAAAATAAACTATGATTTATTCATTAATCCAGTGTATAGATTACAGTAACCCTAAATGTATTATAGCCTAATCTTGTGTATAAATCCTATGCATACTGCTTTTGTCCCGTGATCTCGTGGGAGTAATTTAGTTAAAGAGACTGATATTTCCACCTTCTGTAAGTTTTGTTTATGTTGATATCTCCTGCCTAAACATTCTTTTTCTATAAAGCTTTTTAATGATGTCATCCAACCAACATCTTTGATTGATACCTATGTTTTTCAACCACATACATTCTTGAGAATGTTTCTTTGGCATTGTTGCAAACAATATTGGAAATTGGTATTTTTGAAAAAACAAACACAATTTCCCTCTTTCCCCAAGGGCAGAAAATATACATTACACAATATTTTATTTAGCATTGTTGCAAACAGCATTCAGAAACCTGGTATTTTTGGAAAGCAGAAACTAAAGCAACAATAATAACAGAAAGGGCAGGAAATATACATTACAAAATATTTGAAAACATAGTTCTTCATTATAATATAAAAAAATAGAGGAATAATAACTCTTCCCGGAGGGGTTGGGGAGGAATAGTATAAATGGTAGTGAATTGAAACAATCATCAAGTAGCTTTCAGCAAATGCCAAAATAAACAAGGCTAGGGAAACCCATTTGTTTTTCAAAAATGTCCTGTATTCCTTTTAATACATGCAATGGCATATTAAGATTATGCATACTAAGATTATACAGATGTTCGTAAGGCTAAGCTATAAAGCAATGTAAATATATCTCTTTTATTTTGATTATATTTATGTGGTAAAATGTTTATAGTTCAGGCCCAGAAAGGGCTATCCCTCAACCGTTAAGATTGCAGATACATGAGTTAGCAGTGTACTTGAATTGGTGTGCTTGATTTTCTGAATTAGCTTCTAAGTTCCTCTTGATTAGAAGATGTGAACCCAAAGTAACAACAGATAACATTCATAATGGAAAGATTAGGAAGCTATGAAGACCAGCCTTATCAACGTTACAGACCCAAATCCATTATTAAGAACCGTCACGGAGTTAAAGGATTTGTGGAAACTGTTTTTGAGCTGTAGCTTCATTGCTCAGAGACCTTCCTCCACAAACAGGCAACACATGGCTTTGACTGCTTTATAATAACCTAAGATTCCAAATTTCCCTTTTGAACCCTCACTTCCTCTGAGTTGTCTGAGTGCTACTAATATAGTACTGTAATGTAGTGTGTCAAATGTTAGGACACTTTGTCCCTGTACTGTATTAAATATCAAACAGTTATCTCCCTCTGTAACCATGTAAATACAGTAATAAATATCTATATATATATATATATATAAAGAGAAAGTAAGTTTCGTTTGACTTTTAATAAGGTTGGGGAAATTTTTATAATGCTGACTTTGATATTGCTGGGTTCTGTTTTTTTTCTGGGAAAACAACTGTAGGCCTCGGATTATATTTTGAACATATCTGATACACTCATTTGGAAAGCATGTTGTAGGCACGATCATGAAATGGCTTCAGTGTGGGCTTGAACAATCACAAATCATGCTCTTATCGGATTCTTTCCTCTTTTGTATCTGAATAGTTTACACTATATGCTGCCTACTATGAATTCAATCAAGTTTATACCTTAATGTACTGTATATAAATCTACCCACTCTGCAGGCAGAGGCTTTCCAAAGTGATCATAGCCTATGATTAAGAACATTTTTCATACAGAGACAGGAATAAGTGCAAATCTACCATGAATTAGCTTCCTTATGAATATGTCAGTTGAAATATTTATAAGCTTGCAAGCAATTTCATTCACATGTTATGATCAAGATATAGGTGGTGTAATGGCTTAGTAGTTTAATGATGCTGGAGTTAGTTTCTGCTGCAGTGGTTTGAGCCCTAACACTATGTGGCAGGGTGAACTCCCATCACTTACTTCACTTTCTGCCCACCTAGCAGGTTGAAAGCATGTCCTGTGCAAGTAGATAAATAGGTGCCATTTCGGTGGGAAGGTGGGAGCCGGGGCTTCATGTGGCAGTTAGAATCCTGCTGACACTGAACTTTCCCAGATGAAATGCCCATTTGAGAGGCAGCTTCAATGGAGGGAGAAGGCTTTGGATGACACTGCAGGAAAAGCTTTCTGATGCAAAGCTAGCAGATCTTGGAAAGCCACACATGTACCTAACAGCTGGTAAACAGGTAGCCAAACTACTACTCTGCATTAGCATTGCAGTTTCCTGGTTAATGTACCAATGCCATATATTAAATAAACAAATAAAATTAAGTTACATTTACAAGCACACCTGGACCAGAATTTCTGTTGCTAAATAAGGAAATTTTAAGTGAGGTGCACCCAATCTTACAATCTTTCTTTTTGCCATGGTTATTAAGTGAACCTCTACAGCTAAGTGAATCTGACTTAAGCGAATTTGATTCCCCCCCACCCCTTGACTTTACTTGTCAGAAGCCAGCTGCGAAGATCACAAGACTCTGGTATCCTGCAACTATTATAAATAAACAATTAAACAAGGGCTACCTGTAGTTCCTTCCTTTCATTTGCTGTCCCCAAGTTTCAATTATAAATGGGAAGGAAATAACAAGTTGCAAGGATCTCACTTTTATTTTCATATAGGTTATCAGCTCTGCAGATTCCCATTAGATTCTAGTAAAAAGCATCATAGCACATTCCCCCCCTCCCTAATTTGGATAAGAATGATGTTAATATCCAATAAGTAATTACCTATAGGAAACTGTACAATACACTATTATAAAGATTTTATTATGCAACTGTAATTGGAGATGGTGGGTTCTTTTCTTAGTAATAACATCTGTTATGCCAATCTTTGGTTTCAAACTAAAGACAAGACACTGCCAAAATATTCTCCCCAGGTTAATTTATTGCACATCTTCCTTATAAAAAGAAGCAACTATTAGCTTAAGTTTTATTTCTTTTTTATTTTCTCTTTTTAAGAATTGAATTGTCCGTCTCCCCTCCATCTGCTGAGTGATACAGAATTTTGATACCTGCTAAACACAAATTTAATAAATGTTATTTCCAAAAAAGAATTAATACTTTGCCCTCCCATAATTTATACAGGATCTTCAAACCTATTAAAAATATTTGAAAACTTTATTCTAAATCATAGTTTCTAAATCATCTACAAAAGATATAGATTATTAAAAAAATAAAACATGAGATTACCAGTTACATCAGGACCATATCTTTTTAATTCAAGAAACTGTCACTACCATTACATCTATGAAATCAGAGAAAGCTCCTGACCCTGTTGGTATTTCAGTTGATTGTAAAATCAAAGTTGATTAGGTTTTATATCTTGAAATCTATTACTTTATTGATCAAAAAGTAACAATATACAACCAATATTGCAAAGTATGTACATCAATTATTCTAGCAAGGAAGACTGAAAAATGGAATAATATAGGGATTATACAGCTTGATATATACCTCATAATTTAACGAGAGGCATAACATGTAAGAACCATATCCAATTCTTCTTCCTGTTTCATTTTTTGGGTCTTATTATTTGTTGCATTAAATCAGTGGATCTGGCACCTCTTGATGATTCTTCCTTATGCTTCCGAAGGTGTCAGGGTTGGTCCTGGGATCATAACAGTCTAGAAAGTGTAAGGTTGTGGAAAAAGAAAACAGAAAATCAATGCCCCAATTGTCAAAATCTATGAAGTGCGAAATATGAAGGAAGTGCACTGACTTCTCATTGCATAAGTATCTGTTTATTTTAAAAAGCTAATTTAAGAAAATATAGAAGCACTAGGCCTCAAAACTATGGAAAAAACTGTGAAAGTTGGAACACATTGGTTGGATAGATATAATGCAATTTGCTTGCTTTGGAATTGGAATGATGACGTGCAATCCCAGCTGAGCCTATCATTTTTAAAATAGTTCATTCTCAATGACTGTGCTTCTTTAGTCAAGATTTTATTAATTACTTTTGACATTATTTAAACAGGAAACCAAGGTTTTAAGATTATGACTTGACTAAGGATTATATGAATAGAGAAACAATTGCACAGTGTGAACTCAAGCACACATCCCTGACTCACTATAGTAGTTTCCTACAAAGTTTTAAATTACAACTCCTCATACTCCTGCCAGTGTCCACTGGTTATGCTAAATAAGAATGCAAGGATCTATAATTCAATGCCCCCAGAAAGCATGAAATTGGCAGAAGTCCTGTAATGGGCTTGTAATAATGCACGTAGGTGTTGAGAATATTACCATCAGCTAAAAGCATACTTACTTTAAACTGAACCATTTTTACACTTGTTGTTTATTCAATAAACCACGGATAATTAATTGACAGTGGCTCATTTCACACAACACGTTATTTCAAAATCAAATAAATCACATTATGATTTAGTAGGATATATGAATCAAGCTACTTTATCCTTTATAAGATAAAGTAGCCAAAACGGTAACATTCTCTGGCTTTTAAGGTTTATGCATCAAAAAAAATTAAGACACCTCTACAAATAAATGTCACATCATAACCTAAACATATACCTTGATTAGGGGATCTTTTGGAGGAGCCCATGATGGAACAATCTTGTCATGTAACCTCCACTGGCCAGTTCTGTGTAGCAGATGTCTCTCAAACACAACATATTCTAGTACATCCTTTGGTATCTGTTCGCTTCCATACATCAGCCTCCCAAACTGATCATAGATAGCTAAAATCTGCCAGGAAAAAAAAAACAATAATCCAACCCTGAGCCATTAATTCTGATGCCTCCAGGGTAACAATGGTTGGAATCACATACCTGCCGAATGTGAATTCGAACTGTCACTTGCCCATACAGAAGATCCTCGTTCAGCAGAGTTGGGCATCGCACATGGACCACTCTAGGGGGCTCCAATGACTCTAGAAAACTCCACCGAATGGTCTTGTATTCATTTCCTTGTACCATTTCCTAGCAAATTCAACATGTCTAAAATTTCAGCATGTTCAAATGAAGGTTAAGCATACTACTGCACGAGGATTAAAATACTTATGAATAGCTACAAGAAATTATTTAGAAAAAAATTCGAGGATAAAAATGGAAGTGACCAAAACAAATTAAAAAAAAAAATCAACACCCAAATCCCTATCATTAACAACTCAGAAACCGGGATTTACTGATTTGGTATAAAATATTTTCCAGTCCTGAAAGAAAGTAGAAAAAGGCACAAAAACAATTGAAGAAAAAAAGAGGCAAATAAGCAAGACCAGACTGAGAAAAAGGAAATGGGCATAAAATGCAAAGTCATGCTGTGGGCAACTGAAACTCATAGTACCGTTTAGATCAGGGGTCCCCAAACCCCCAGGCCAGCCTGCTACTGGGCTGTGGTCTATTCGCACTGGATCACATGAGCAGCAGGCCAACAACATGCATGTGCGTGCAGCTCAACTTGCATGTGCCGCTCAACTCGCATACGCAGCTTGACTTAATAGTCGAGCTACCTGTGCATACGCGTTGGGCCACCACTCACATGCTGCTCCCCCCCTACCCGGCTGGGCTGCCCAGCGGCAAAGGTTGGGGACCTCTGGCTTAGACAAAATAGACTAGTTTATTTGCATTCAGAACTTTTTCCATAGAGCATCATCAGTGAAACCCAATATAATGATTCCAAAGATGAAGTCTACACCATGATAACTGCACACATTAGAAATGAAACAAAAAAGAGAAGCAACCTTCTGGGATCAGGCTGTTATAAATCATAGGCAATTTTCTCCAACCCTCCTCCCTCCTGTAATGACTTTTAGAATCCATGTAGGTGCTAGCAAACACTGTGTATTACTTCCTATTCTCTCTTTGATTTTTTTAAAAATAAAAAGTATGTTTGCTCCATACTTCAATTTTAAGTGCATACAAGGATGTCAAACTAACAAAGCACCTTTGGGGCTTAAAACGAAAGAGCCCACCAATGATGATTAACTCTGCCCAGTGTGGCAGACTGACAATGCAGGAATACCATAGGATAATAGTGCAAGTATCTGTTACAGGAAAGTGCCATGACAGATTTTCTTTAAAATCTTTTAAGCAAATACTTGCTGATCTCATCAGATTCTTACCGGGTAACAGTGTTCAGTCACTAGAGTGTGAAGTTTCTCCTCATTAAAACTGTAGAAATTTAGAAAAATAATACATTACCAAGTTGCTTCTAAATATCAATTTAATGAAAATACTATTGAGTTTGAAACACATAAGCGTGGACATACATACGCACGCAGAATTCTTGACAACTTCTAATATATACAGAGAATAATCCTATTATTATTCAGGAATAATCCTGAAGAAAAACCACTGCTAACAAAGTTCAAGTTACAATGTACTATGCAAGACTGGAAAGAAAAAAAACCCTCTGTGAATCAAGACAAAAGTACTGTATAGAAACATACAATAGATAATATCAACACAGCTAATAAAAGGGTGTCAGAATGCATGAAGACACTTGGAATGTCTGATGAATGAACCAGTTCCTCCCCTACACCCACTCTTTATTTGAATACAGATTTTAACAGCTATCAATTGGTGATATTACTTCCAGGTATTTGAACCAGTTTCTATAATGTATCCATCACAAAGCAACAGGCTACTTCGTTTTCCATTTTAAAAAAATCCAAGATAATTTTTGAAGTTTCTCTAGGTAAGATAAATGAACTAAAAGATGTTAACTGCTATCAAACTAATGCACAATTTGTGGGAAGAGAGGGAAGACTGGTGCCTACAATTGAAACACATCCCAAGAAGTCTTACTTGGCCAGATTATTGTGTGCCTCAATAAAGATTTCTTGGGCTTTTTCTCCAAAGGTTTTGACGCGGAAGTCAGGATCACTCTCCCTTATTTTTCGGATTCTGTCAAGAAAAAAGGACAAGAAGAGAGTAAACAACCACAGTTCAAGAAAAAAGAATCCTTAAGATGAAGCTCATCAGACACAGGACTTACATAATCACAAAACAGGAAAATGCTGTTTCTGCATAGCTAAAGACATATTGATATTGATTATAATTTTTACTCTGATCAAACTATGGGAGAGTAATGACCAACAAATCATACCTAGTCTATATCTTGATGGGGGATTCTGAGAAAAAAGCCCAAACACCAAGTTCTGAAGTCATCAATCAAACCCACTATTTATAAAAGACAACAGTATCTTTCATTATAGGACCACATACTTATCTAGGCTAAAATACTGTTGGCTAGTTCACATCTTTTTATACTTCAGTATGCTGCATTCATCCTGACTGAAGATTAATGCAGCAAACTAAAGGCCAATTAATCTCAAGTGTGTCTACCTTGTAAGGATATAGCAGAAATGGAACAATTCCATTCTAAATTTCCATAGTAACCCAAGTCATATCTTTATTTGGAAATGGGTTGAACAGCAAATGAAAAATTTGCACAATCTCAGGAAAAAAATATTAAATATGAAACTGTTTTGTTTAAAGCAAAGCCTGAAAGGGAACCATGAATTCATGAAGGAATGTTTGGGAGTATACTCACAGCCAAAGGTTAAAACTCATCAGCTTCAAAAGTTCTGAGTGATTACGTCACTTCATAGAGAACTAATCAATCATGTTTGAACCCAATAATGTCATATTAAAAAATATACCAAATGCTGGGAAAATATCAACAATAAAACTAACACTACGAAAAGATGGGACTTATTTCCAGACCCCTTTTTCATAAATTTGCAGCCAAATTACCATTGGCATATTAAAAATATATTTTTAATATATATTTTTATTCATAAACATTTTGAATACAATATTGCCAGGGCATATCATTCAGAGAAAAAAACAAGGAAAAAAAGAAATAGTAACATATATACTAATAACAATAGCAGTGGTGCAATAGAATAATTTTAATTAAATTTATCTTTGTTAGTTTATTTGTAATAGTGTGGGTTATAAAGCATACTTATAATTATAAACCATCTTTATGATTAGTGCATACAAAGCAATAATCTTTACCTAATTTCTACTTATCTCTAACCACTCATAAAATCTATCCCATGTTGAGTAATATTCTGTATCTCCTTTTTTCTTTATTTTCTGTCCATCTCTGCACAGTCCAATATTTTCTAAATTGCATCCTCATCTGATGGAGTGTTTTCATTTTTCCAATATTGTGCAAACACAATACACACTGCTGTCAATACATGCAAAACTAGGTATATCCCTTCAGCATTATACCCAACAGAAATATTTCTGGTTTCAAATCTATTTGTTGCTTGATCATCTTTTCCAATCATGTATTTTCGTCCAATCTTTTCTTGGTTTCATACAAGTCCACCACATATGATAATAAGTACCTGGGGTCCGATTACACTTCCAACATTTGGCAGACATTTTGCTGAACATTTTTGCTACCTATAAAATGCCACCTATAAAACGTTTTATAAAGATGTTCCTTATATGCAGTAGCCATTGTCAGTTTGTAATTCCTATCCCAAAATTTTTGCCATTTATCTAATTCTATAGTATAACCAATGTTTCTTGCCTATACAATAATTGTTTCTTTGACTTGTTCCTCTTCCATTTTATAACTTAGTAATTACAGTATATATTTTTAAATGAGTTTTTCATCTGAATTTTCATTTGCAAATACAATCGAGATACAAGAAAGATGTGAAAACATGGGGCTTTTACAAGGAACCAACAGCACTTGATATTATTGGGGACATGTTAAAAAGATTTTTTATTTGATTCAACAATGCACACATTAGAAAAGGTCCTCTTTTCCCTCCTTCTAAAGTCATACTAAGTACATAGCAATAGCAATAGCACTTAGAGTTATATACCACTTTATAGTGCTTTTCAGCCCTCTCAAAGCGGTTTACAGAGTCAGCCTATTGCCTCCAACAATTTTGGGTCCTCATTTTACCCACCTCGGAAGGATGGAAGGCTGAGTCAACCTTGAGCCTGATGGGATTCGATCTGCCAAATTGCAGTGGGAGTAGCTTGCAGTATATAGTTTGACTGTTTACTCCCAAAAGTCAAATAACACACTCTGAAGCACATTAACACTATTTGGAACTCCAAATGAGGGAAATTCATCTTTTACATGACTTATCAAATAAAATAATTCCCTTGCTTGGGGAATACTAGCATGTAGACAGAAACATTAAAACTCATTTTCTGTAAATAAGTTTTTATACATAGGGTAATATTCAGTTTTCAACTGCTTTTTCAAATTACCATATTCCAAAAAGGACTACAGTATGTACAATGTACTCTTGTAAGTTAATATTTACTGCCTGGGTTTTTAGGAAATGCAACAGGAAATAAATCAACCTTTAAGACCTACAGAAATGCTTAGAAGATCAAGACCATGGCACAAACTGCAGCTTCTAAAAGGAAATTATACATTAGCACTAGATGAACAGATGCAATAGACTGACTGGATGCCACAAACAGAAAGTACATACGCCGTGTAAGATTTTGCAGTCTGCTTCAATTTTTCTGTCCTTTGTAACAGCCCTTCCTTTGACAACATTGACATACGGGCATCTCCTTCTGCAGGAATGTAAGGGTCAAAGATCCCCCCTGGATTGCCAAAACAAGAAGAAAACATAACAAAAAATTATTTTTAAAACATGCTTCCCAATCAAATGTGAAGCATTAAAGTTTAAAAAAAATTGAGGTTAAAATATTATTGCTACTGTTATAAAAAAAAATGTGTATTGCTGAATGACCATGATTTACAGCTTCAATTACCTATTGCTATTGTGGAAAACTTCATGTGGACAGTATGTTATTTTATCAGTCAGTACTGATAAAATAGTTAACAACTTGTTCAGTGATGATTGTTGCAATGGTGATGAGCAACTACCAGTAACTACCTCCAACTACCACCTGTCCTTGAAATTCTAGGCGCTTGGTACCCAGTTTGCAGTCATGATGTTACAGCATCTCATAATCACATTTGCAACATTCAGTGACAATTTACCACAAGCAAATTCAAACTGGCAGGAAAGGTTGCAAGTTACACCCACTGCTTTTCCTCCCAAGAAGCCCAGTATAGAATGTGAAAACTCAGGAATCTCACACTCCATAATATGTGCGCATCTGCAGCATCTCCCACTTGTAATGCATGCATGCCTTTGTGTCGCAGTATCCTTTCTTCCTCCTGTCCACAGCACTTGTGCCACAGCACTCTCTATCCCACCTGGCCACTTTCACACTGAAGCATTCCCCCACCCCCCCAGGCATACTTCATGCCATACATATGCCCACTGGCTTGCCAAGCATTTGCAACTTCCACACCGACTTTGCTTATTGGAAGCTGGCAAGCCACAGTCACGTAAGATCCTTGCTTAATAACCTGCAATCCTCACTTAACAATGGCAACAGAGACTGATGGTCCTGTGATGTCATGTTTTATAACTACATTATTTAATGATGAAAATTCTGGTTCCAATTACTATGGTTAAGTGAGGATTATTGCAACACATAATCACCTACCTGAAAAAAAGGCAAATACAGCAACAACTTTATTACATTCTGCAAATTAAAATTCTATCTGAGAAATATAGTGTAAAAACATGAATAGTTTTGTTACTTGTTAAATTTAAGTTTGTTTTTTCTCAAGGAAAGCATGTTAAGTCATATGGAGTATTTCCATTTTATTCCTCAAATAATAACATTATAAGCGAAGGATAGGATGAAAAAATATGACTAGTTTTCTACTGTGGTTCCCTGAAAACAAGACCCTGTCTTTTTTTTTTGCCACCAAAAAAGGCACCAGGTTTTATTTTATTTATTTTTTGGGGGGGGGAAGGGTATGTCCTCCACTGACTCACCTCCCTTGTGTCACCCCCATCCTCATTTTCACTGTCAGAGGCCTTCAGGAACTTCTTCAGCCAGCAAGGCTCTCCTGACGGCCTCTGCAGCCTATAACAGAGCTCCAGATTAATCCCTAGCTCTGTTAGCAGCTACAGAGGCCTTTAGAAAAGGCCATCAGGAAAGCCTTGCTGGCTGCAGAAGAAATAAGCCCTAATTAAGGCCTAGCTGCAACTGTTGGAAAGTAAGTAGTAAGGCAGCTCCACCACCCCCATCCCCACCCTAGTTTAATCTGTCCCCATGTACCCTGGAGAGGGCGGGGCCTTAATTAGGGCTTATTTCAGGGATAGGACTTATATTGGGTGCACATATAAAAATCAAACTAGGACTTACTTTCAGAGTAGGTCGTGTTTGTGGAAACATGGTAAGTTAACACAAATTTTCATAACCAAAATTCCATGGCTTAAGCCTGAATCATGTAAGCCAAATATCTTAGCTACTATACTACAGTGACTACAGAAATATTAATGGGTGACTTGATAAAAATACAAAAAGAATCTTGCAAAAAATATTACCAGGCACCATTGGTAATACAGGTCCTGAATAAATGTATTTGTGCAGAATGGCAGAAAAATGGTCCCAAAAAGTAAGACTATCTATTGATTTGTTTTAATTTTTCCACCATCCATTAAAGCCTCTTGGTGGTTTTCAATAAAAAACAAATCTGAAAAGAAGATTTTAAAAGCTGAAAAAACAACAACAATTAAGTACAAAATGCAACCAGTAAAATTAGCAAAAACTTTATGGGCCCTTCTGAAAGTTAGTAAGACATTAGGCTCATTAATATTGCAGGGACCCATATTCTTCAGGTTTTGGTTGGTCAGAGATAGTGGCTAGTCCACAGTTAATGAGTACTCTAGAGCAGGGGTTGCCAACGTTTTGGACCACAGGGACTACCAAACTCATAATTTTAAATCCCAGGGACCACTAACTGGTTCTGTGGACGTGGCCTAATTTGTGGGTGTGGCTTGGTGCTCATATGACTGGTTGGGCATGGCTTGTATGTAAATATTATAAATACTGATTTTTTTTTTATAAAAAAGAGCAACTTTTACCCAAAATCAGGCAAAGCAAACAGGCAGATTGAGTTGCTCACAGAACCACAGATTCATTCAGAGATCTATCTATCTGCCATCAGCTAGCTTAGTCTGTCACATAAAATTTGCTAGCAAGCAAAGTCACAAAATTAACTCACAACACACCATGTATGTAAATATTGAACTTTTTATTAAAAGAAAGCAACTTTTACCCAAAATCAGGCAAAGCAGGCAGGCAAATTGAGTTGCTTACAGAATCATTGAGTGATATATCTGCCATTGGCTACCTGAGTCTGTCACATAAAATTTGCTTGTCGTGAGTCTGCCCTGAATAATAGAACCTTCAGTCCTAAGGAAGGTTCTAACGATTAGACAGAAAGCAAGAAATGCAACAATTTCCTGCTTTCTAGCTAATCTAAATCTCCCTGCACAGCAGAACAGCTGATGATCGGGGGGCGGGGGGGGAATAGCAACTTAGCAGGCAAGTTTGCTGAGTAAGGAGTGAGTGGGCGGGGAGGCTTTCCGGGGGCCATGTGGGCGGTGCAGCCTTGTGTTTCTGTGCAGCCTGGATTAATTGCTTTGGGGGTGTGCTCTGGAGGTGACATTTCTCTGCAGACCACCAAAATTTTCTCGTGGCCCGACAGCTGCTCTAGAGGAAATGGATTATGAAGACTCATTTTAGTCAGATTTTGAGCCATGATTTAGTATGGCAAGAGCCTTAATCATGCTTCCAGATGACCTATGATGGGACCAGGATGACAATGATGCATCTGTTCTTGTGCTCCTTGATCTCTCAGTGGTTTTTGATATTGGTGACCATAGTATCCTTGTGAGCTACCTTTCTGGTCTAGGGATGGTGGCACCATTTTACAGTGAACCTCTTCCCTTCTCAGTGACTGGTTTCAGTCAGTGCTGGTTAGGGAGCAAAGATCACTCCATACGTTTCTCCTTTGTAAAGTGCTACGTGGTTCCACCCTCTCTCTCATCCAATTAATATGTATAGGTAGTTATTCGGTTATGGCAGCATTTGAGATTGGAATTACTGTCACTAAATGATGCAATCTTAGCAAAATGTCATGTAACCACATCATTTAGCAATGACCATCCCAACAGTGCTGATTGCCATCATAATCCCAAGATGACCAAGTAGTCCCAGCAGTACAGGGGTGCTAGTCTCAACAGCTCACAGAGTGCTAATAACCAGAAGACAGCAAAGAAATACATCTCTCCCCATCATCCTATCATCATCCTTTCATTCCGCCACCATCCTGTCTTAGCTGTCTGTACCTATACTTCCATTCTCCTGCTATCAGAACCAATGAAGATTCTTGGATGAGAAGTGAAACATTTTCTTCTTTGTTGTCAAGGAAAAAATAGTCTGGTTGCCTTTTGAAGAAAAAGTACTTTTGAGACAACTATGACCTGGGTGACTGAGAATCTCTAGAGACAATATACTCCCACACCTCCACTTACTTACTTATTTACTTACTTACTTACTTACTTAATTTATTTATTTATTCGGTTTGAACAAGAAGTGTTATTTCTGTATTTTTATAGCCATCTTTATTTCTTCTAGGCAATTTTTTTAAATAGGCAGAACAAACCATTCTGAATAACTGCATCTCATTTCCAATCATATGCTATTACAGGGAAAATGACAATGGCTCAGACCTTGCTAAACATCATCACTTGTTGCTATAGTTAAGTAATATCTATGTGGTTCATTACAATACCAATATCTACAGTACATTTTTTTATATGAAATGAGAAAGGATTTAAAGATATCTAGGAGTGGAAAAAAATGAGAAAGCAAACCAATTGATATCTATTTCACTTTCGGACTCAATACACTCTAGAGCAGGGGTGCCCAAACTTGGCAACTTTAAGATTTGTGGACTTCAATTCCCAGAATTCTCCAGCCAGCTATGCTGACAGGAGAATTCTGGGAGTTGAAGTCCACAAGTCTTAAAGTTGCCTAGTTTGGAGACCTCTGCTCTAGAGATTAATTCTATTTCAATTCTTTATACAGAATAAATTATCAAAACTACTTACGTGTGCAGGTAATAGTGATATACTGTGACAACTTCTCTTCGGGTATCATCAATCCTGCAGCTTTTAATTGCTTTTGCTGTTGTTCCAAAGGATCATAGCTCCTAGGGGGAACTTTAAGTCGTTTTTTGGTCCTCACTGGGATCACAAGACAAGATGGGGCAAAACGGGCAACATTCAGTAAACATGTTACCCCCTTTCAATAAAAAAAAGCAATGTTATACAAATAACTTTTAATTACAGCTATTTATGTACTCTTACCTTCCCAATCCAAATAAATAGCAATATGAGCCACATTTAGAGACATATTAAACATACATAGAAATTCAAATCTACAGATGAAAATATGTTTCTTATTTCAAATAAAGACATATGTTTTCTTTGAATTGTCAGGAAATTCCTTCTGCAAATGATCTTTGCTTTTCCAAACAATCTTTGCTTTTCAATACTTTTCATACTGTCTTTTCAAAAAGAAAAAGGCAATCTAGACATACAAAAGTCATTTCAAAGCAAAATATAAATTATATAAGAATAGAAGATTGCCATATTTTCAGAGATTGCTAAGAAAATATGACTAGTGCAAAAACTAACTGGATCTGTGGGTATCATTTGCTAAAACAAATCATATTTGTTTAAAAGTTTGGATAGTTTGTACCTAAATATTGAACAAACCCAAGTAATGATTATGTGCCATCAAGTTGGTATCAACGCTTAGTGACAACACTGATTTTCTCCATGACTCAACTAATGAAGTAAGCTTAGAGTTCACTGTATTGAGCAAACTAAACTGATGCTGAACAGCTACAATTCTGACAGTAGCTCTCCAAAATTCCTAGGAGTTTTTCTAGATGTGGGTTTAAACTTAGGAATTTTACCATTCAAATTATATGTCTAATCACTGTTCTTCTTGCAGACACATATGCAGTGCTCACCCAGAATAAAATCTGCAATTTAATTTGCTTGGTTTTGACTTAGCATGCTGTGCAAATCCTAATAATTACTTAATGGCATATATTTCAACAGAAACATATTGGGCTTCTGTCTGCTACAAGAGAACACACGTTTAAGAAGCATATATTATATTAAACACTATTCACAAAATAAGTATATTCCAATACCCAACCCACAACAAACACCCACTCCCCCACAGCAATGAAGATGCAGATCCATTCAGTAGTATGCTTACTTTCTGGGAAGTCCTGAAATTCTGGCTGGGTGTCAGGATAGTAACTGAGCCCACATTATCAGTATATGATGCCATTTTATGTTTTAGCTAGTTTTAAAACTAATTTTTATACTATAGATGGGCAGCCATATAAATATTTGAATCATATTTTTCCTTCCTTTCCTCAGAAATATTTCAACAACTTATTTCAATGATTGAAGTAAACTAATTAACATTTTGTAGTGTTCTAGATACGCAGACCATTATTTTCCAAAACAGCTAAATTTCTATACAATTAGTCCCAAACTCTTCAAATGTAAATACCGACATCAAAATCCTCACGTATATCATTCAATTTCCCTTATTTTCGTAAATGATAAAGGAATCGTTTTCTCCATTTAGAAAGAGAGAAGCTATTGGTGGAAAGCTTACTTCTTATATATTTGATTTTATCTAGATAATTAAAAGCAGAACATGATAAAACATAAAGTGACTGCTGTAGTCATCAGAAAGTGCTGCAGTAAAACGAAAAAGACAAATACACACATAAAAAGAGGCGTTCTAATAATTACGAAAACCATAAATTTCCATTCGCCCGAAAAACACGCTCTATCAGAATTAACTACCAGTGAAATTTCCCTCCCAATATTTAAAAGAGAAGGACATATACCTACCTTAGCTATATTTAGCCGCGCGAAAGCCGCCATATTGCGAGCGCCGCTTTGCACGACGGGATGAAGGAGGGATATCGAATGTGACGGAATACCAGAGAGGCGGAGACGGTCGCGGAACATTGCGGTAGTAGGGGATCTGATGGCCCGCAGCGTTCTAGTTTTTAATTGATACTTCGTCAGCAAACAAGAATGAGTGGGGACGGTTAGCGTCGCCAAACCGAGGGCATAAATCGTCTTCTAACCTCAGACATGCACAAGTATGCAAGACACCATAGAAACATCACATGGATAGTAGATTTGTTTTAAGCGCTTTGTAACTCTTCCTAAATAAACAATGTTGTCATTCTGCTTGAACGCCTTTGCAGAAAGGTGCTATATAAAAACGCGTTGTTGCTGCTATTCGGAGATGGTATTTAGTAATCAGGATGCCTAATCGTACTTTATTACCGAATTATCCATCCATTGAAAAAAGCAATACCTGTAAACTAAACTAACGATATTAATCGATAGATTCATGAATGTCGTTTTTTACAAGCCCGAATTAAGTTTTGCAAAATGTGAAGGTAAGTGCGTACTAGGATAAAAATGAAGATAGTAGTGAACTGAACAATAGTACTTTCTTATTAGGCAACAAGCAAGTAGTGTACAGATAGTCCTTGATTTATAATCATTCATTTAACGACTGTTAAAAGTTACAAGGGAACTGAAAAAAGTGACATATTTTATGACCATCACAAAAGATAAGCATATGACGCTGGGACACTGCAACTGTCATAAATAGGAGCCATTTACCACATGTCCAAATTTTGATCATGTGACCATGGGAAAGCTGCAACAGTCTTAAGTGCGGAAAAACAATCATAAATTAACTTTTTTCAGTGCCAGTGTAACTTTGGTCAGTAAGAGACCGAGAGCTGACATGGCCCTTTCCAAATATATTATTTTGTATGAGTTATTAATTATTTAACTTACTAAGATTATTTACATTTAAGTAAATAATTTCCTCCTTGGCTGTACTTTGTTTCAAATATAATTGAAGCCAAATATGATCTCAGTGTGGAAAACATTATACACCTTTACTTAAGAAAAAAATTGATCATGAGTCTCTATTTGCTCCTACTTGCTACAGTCGAAGTTTATGTTAGAGCTATAAATCTGTCTAAATTTTACCACTTAAAACGCTAGATTAGGTTTCTACACAAAATTCAAAGGGGAAAAAAATCTGAACATATATCCTGCCAGAATTTGGCCTTATTTTAATGAGTTTAGTTTTCACCTCAAGCAGATAATTTTAACAGTGCTTAATTTTAATCACCATAGTTTCTAATGCATCATCGTACTGCAAGGGAAGATTTTTTTTGAGACATATAACTTTTTTCCCTCAGGTACAACTTGGTTGGCTTTGATTACTTGGATCATATTATTGGTATGTCCCAAGTTACATGCCCTGATTGAAAGCAATACTTCTTGCCTATCTCAGGTAGTAATATTCTTAAGCTAATAATCATGGGATCCTCTTAATATGGACTGTACTAAAAGCTCTGTGGCCATACTTTATCTTAAGGAATCATCAACCTGGTGGCACATAACTAATATTATCATTTACACCAAATTCTCTTGGCTGGACATGGAGGAGGCCAAGTTATAGGAGAAGCTGCTATAACTGCAGATAGTGGAGCAGAGTAGGTGGTAGGACTTTCTAACACAGTCATGGATGAGAATGTTAATACTGTCTCACATGGAATGCCATTTTCTGAATTATGCCAGTATATTATGGAAAGAGCAGTTATCAAACTAACCTTATCCCAAACCCACACCTTGAGCTGCAGATATCAAAGTGAAACTCTTCCTTCGAGATGTTGGCAAACGAGTGAAACCACTATTATATAGTAGTCTAATTCTGATATAGTAGTAGTCCTGATTCCATTCTACTGATGACTGTTCCCCACAAATCACAATACAGCAAATCAATGCTATAAATAACACCAATACCTTCTACATTTCTATTTTTATGTTTTTATTGTTCTAGAGATATTTATTTGTTAGGATTTTAATGTTTTAATACTGTAGAGTATCCAGTGTCATATTGTACAAGATGGGCAGCAAATTAAACTTTTGTCTTAATTTGTATATTTCTTTTTTATACTGTACATAAGAGAAACAGATTTTGACAGGAGAATTTCCCATCTCAATTTGAAGTGATATAATCCCAATACAGATTTACCACATCAGTCAGAATAGGGTTTATAAATACTATTCTTTAACCTACTTTTTCTCTACCTTAGCAACATTAAGTTGTGTGAACTTCAGCTCCCAGAATTCCCTAGGCAATGCAGCTAAGATTGATTAGATTGTGAAATACTGCTTTGACATGCTGCTATTCTGTTCTGTTCAGGGGTGGGATTCTACCAGCTTGCACCTATTCGCTAGAACCGGTTCTTAATATTCTAAGCAGTTCAGAGAACCCATTGTTAGAAGAAATTACTGGCCTAATCCTGTAAGGAAGGCAGGAAGGAAACATTCTGGTGTTGCTTACAGAAACTGCCTCTCCATTAACCCTTATTACATTCTTGGCAGGACTAGACTTCCTGTCTCAGGAACATCTCTGGAGTTTTTTTCCCCTCCTTTGCTGGTATTTTGCTTGTGTGGAGTGACCATTCAAAGTCATAATGGCACTGAAAAGAGTGACATGACCATTTTTCACACTTAGGACTGTTGCAGCATCCCCACAGTCATGAGCGGCCAGGCAAGGAGATACGTGCCTCGATGTGAGTGATATTGAGTTGGCCATGCCCAGCCAATAACATGACCACTAAGCCATGTCCACCCAGTCACATGACCACCAAGCCACGCCCACCAACTAAGCCATGCCCATAGAACCGGTTGTTAAAAAATTTGAGTCCCACCTCTGGTTCTATTGGATATCAAGGTTATAGATTAGACTAAGAAAAAGAGTACAAAAAAATATAGTCATCTACTTCTGAATTGCTGCCCAAAGCAAAATAAATATTATATACAGTTGAATCTGTCCATGAAGTCATCTGGACTCAGATATTTTACTTTTTCCACAAATCACTATAAGCCATAAAACGTATTTTTGACTTCCCTTTAGTGTAATACTATGTGACCACCACAACTGACCCCAAAGCATATGTTGCTAAATGAGAAATTTGTTAAGTGAGCTTTGCTTCATTTTACAACCTTTCTTGCCATGTTTTTAGGTGAATCGCTATAGTAGTAAATTAGTAACGTTGTTAAATGAATTTGGCTTCTCCTTTGACTTTGCTTATAAGAAGGTTGCAAAAGATGACCTTGGGACTCAGCAACAGTCATAAATATGAACCAGTTGCTAAATATCTAAATTTTGATCACATGATTATGGGGATGTTACAAGAGTTCTGACTGAAAAATGGTCATGAAGTCACATTTTTAGGACCGTTGTAATTTTGAACTGTCACTAAATGAACTGTTGTAAGTTGAGGACTACCTGTATGTGTGTTCAGCTAATGTGGTTTGTAACCAAGGTTTATAGCTGGAGTCCATCCAAATACTGGCTTATCTAATGAATCACAGTTTATTTGAACTTTAGTGTAATGTGTGTTTTTGTACTTACTGTCTGGGTAGATATTTTACAACCCTTATTTGAGTACAATTATTTTGCAATCTGAAGTGTTCTGCATTTATTTAATAAGCTTTTAAAATGTTTTGCTTTACGAATTTATTTATATTTATGTTTGAGAATTTAAATGTCCCAGACAATTTAAAAATGTTTTTAACTCTGTGTGCAAACTGGCTTGACTAATACATTTTCAAAATTTAAAAATGTATGCAATTCAGAAGGAACTATACATGCAGCTGCTCATAATGGTAGTTAGACACTTTAGAATGAAATATGTTGGTATGTCTATCAACCCAGCTCTGTTTCTAATCCAGGAGCAGCTGTTAGTTCCTTGCATTAGTGCCTGCATTCTCTTTTGGCCTGGAGAAAACAAATTGACTTTAAAAATAGTAGAAATACTAATAGTTGCACTGATGTGTCAGATAAACAATTAGGGAAAAATAAAAGCTTCTTTTTAGCAGGATGAGCAAAAAAAAATGACGTATCAACAGCATGGTTAGTTTACTGGATATTGATGTATGGCAATGCATTTTGCTACAAAAGAAGTAACGCTCACAGCCTAGTTAAATAAAGAATGCTTCACTATATATAGATGCGTACCGTTTACTTGCAGGCCTGTTATTTTTTTTCCTCCTCTGGCTTCTTCTTTTTTCTAATTAAACTCAAGCTCCCTCAGCTATTTACCCATCTGATCTACGAAAGTGGAAAAAGCTACAGGTATTGACAAAGTTTTTCCAGAAACAATACAACTGAATCTAAACTGGTAGCACTGGCATTAGCTTCCTTATTTATATCTATTCATCAAACCAGGCCTCTACAAATGGACTGGAGTGTATGAGACAATAATTGCACTGGAAAATAAGAATGAAAATAAGATTTGATTATTTATAGACCATTTAGTCTGGGTATTGTGATCATTAAAATATATGCTAAGCACAAACATATTAAACTTCAAATTGGATTCACACCATGACAATTATCAAAGAGCCAGCTTTAGGGGAGGGTAAATCATGATCGTGTACTTGTTTTTCACAACCTTATTCAGAAGTATGTACAAAAATAGAAATATCCCTTTCTGACATTTCTGGCTGTGAAATTTGCTTTTGGTCCCATCTCCAGAAGAATTCTGTGGGGAAAACTTTGCAACACATCAATTGATAAGCAGCTCCTTTTTTCTGCTCCAGAACTTGTTCACAAGCAATTTTCTACAAATGAAGCGTTTCCCAGCAGAGCTGTTCTTGGAAGAATAAACTATACAGAGAGGATAATCGAAGATGCATCTCTGCTCTGTCTATACATCACCTTGACAACATCAACCCTTAACAACCAGATGTTCATAAACAGGCAGACCTCCTGATTCCCATCTTTTTATATAAAGATGTTGCTGTCCTCTTATCCATAATTCCAGCTGGGCTCAGAAATGCAGTGAAATCTATCATCTTCTGCAGAAAGCACAATAGGCCCATATTAAAATTATGGCCTTTGAGAAAAGAACAAAAAGAAAAACTGGATTATGGAGGACAATAAAACA